CGTCTTTTGACCACCATAAGACTATTCGTAAGGGGTTTACCAGGGAAACAAAATTTGAATAAAGCCCGGAAAAGTTCCTCCGCCATTGTATTTACGGCTTGAAAATACGCAGTGAGATCCGCCAACTTTTCTATTTATAGGAAGCAGCCGCACGGCCTTCGACACGTCCTTTTCCCTCCCTCCTCCCTCCTCCCGACGAGCCTCTCTGCCCTCCGTCTGGTCGCTTCCTGCCCTCTCCCTCCCTCGCTGGCGCAGCTCCAAGGATTCTCCGTGCGATCTCCTCGATGTGCGAGCGATGCTGCTGTGCCCGCACGTGCAGCGACTTGAGACGAGGAGAGGGAGGAGCGTTGAGGTTTCTCCCCCGCATCTCCTCCCTGATAGTAGACAGCGGCTGGTGCTGGAGGTACTGCGACATGGCTGACAGCATCTTGTCCTTGTTCGCGTATACCACATTCCTCGCTCCTCCTCCCCTGCCTCTTCCCTTCTTTGCAACCAGTCGCTCAAGGTTGGTCCTGGGCTGGTGCCGCAGGTACTCAGTCAGAGCATGCTTGCTGACAGGGTATCGCTCTTTCTTAGCCGAGAAACCTCCCGCTGCTCCGTACACCCTCGTCTCCGGGCGAAAGTAGAGCTCAGAGCTCTCGCAGCCTCCTCCCTGCCGAAACTCTAAGCTCATGCCACTGCCATCAGAGAGTGGGAGGAGGAGATAGTGAGAGGGTGAAGGGGTAGGAGAGACAAGGCACTGTGAGGAAAGGAGAAAGAAGAGTGAGCGGGAGTGTAACTCGGGGAGGAGAACGGACGATGTTGTTGAGGGGGAAACAGAGGATATGAAGGATGTGGGTGCGATGGAGGAACGAGGAATGAAAAAGATAGGAAGGAGAAGACATGAAGACAGGAGAGAGGAGGACACGAGACGGGGTTGAAAAATCTCACGCTGCATCGGAAGTAGCGACCGATCCCAACGAGAACGAACAAGGTGGTTGAGATAGAAAGTAATGCAGAAAGAGCTCGATACTTGGGCATGAGCTTGTAGGTGGAGTGCAAGTTTTACATCCACCTGACTCAAACTGTCAGACCCATTCGCGCTCGAGCGACAGCCAGTCCCCTTCCTTCGACTCATGTTGTCATTCCCTTGCTCCCTTGCTCCCTTGCTGACTCCCCTGCTACCCTGCTCCCCCCTCTCGCTCTCGCTCCCCTTCTGTCTGTCTGTCTGTCTGTCTGTCTGTCTGTCTGTCTGTCTGTCTCTCTCTCTCTCTGACCTCCCCCCCCTCCCTCCCCCGGTCCTCCCTGCCTCGCCCTCAACGAACAGGCGACGTCATTGGCAGTAACCCCCCTCATCCCCCACCCCTCATGGCCCGGGACTTGCCGCTAGTCCGGGCCCGGCCGGTCACTCACCGGGTGGATCCCGACGGTTGAGGCGAAGGCGCTTTTGTTACGACCTTCTTGCACCACCCACCCCATCCCCTTCATTCTAAAAACTTTTGTCCTCATCTTTGTGGTGGTAGGGTAACTACCCCTACCACCATTTTTGAATAGCAGAGAAGGGGTTATTAGACCATTGCAACCATTGGTACGGGTATTTCTTAGTTTTCTTCAATGTACCCCACCCCCCCACCTGAATGAATCTCATCGTCCGACATTTTCCCCTAGTAGATGGGGGTGGTCATTTTACCCATGAAAGATGGGTAGGGGTGACCGCTGACTTTGTACCGGTGCATCTTAGTTCAATCCAGGGGGTCAGGACGGGGTCAGGGTACTTTCAACCCCCTGCTCTCGGACCCTGGGGAGGGGGGTGGAGAAGCAGAGAGGGTGGGGGTTACCCTTGTCCAGTGGTCTTTACTAGAAATTGGCGATTTAAGTGGGGTGGGGGGTTACAGGATCAGGGGTATGACATTCAGCACTTACGGCAGATGGGGTACGTTGATGGAGATTTGTCAGGGTGAAAGAGGGTGGGTAAACGGGAATTTGTTTTGAAGGGGGTAGGGGTGATATTACGAGGGGTAGTAATGGGGTGCATGCGTGTGAGGTTGAGTGGCGTCGACAGAGGATGCAGCGACTGATCTTGCTGATAGCGGCAGGTAGACCATGAAGATGAAGAAGATGATGAGATGAAGATGATGAGATGAAGATGATGAGATGAAGATGATGAGATGAAGATGATGAGATGAAGATGATGAGATGAAGATGATGAGATGAAGATGATGAGATGAAGATGATGAGATGAAGATGATGAGATGAAGATGATGAGATGAAGACGATGAGATGAAGATGATGAGATGAAGATGATGAGATGAAGACGATGAGATGAAGATGATGAGATGAAGATGATGAGATGAAGATGATGAGATGAAGATGATGAGATGAAGACGATGAGATGAAGACGATGAGATGAAGATGATGAGATGAAGACGATGATGAGATGAAGACGATGAGATGAAGATGATGAGATGAAGATGATGAGATGAAGACGATGAGATGAAGATGATGAGATGAAGACGATGAGATGAAGACGATGAGATGAAGATGATGAGATGAAGACGATGAGATGAAGACGATGAGATGAAGATGATGAGATGAAGATGATGAGATGAAGACGATGAGATGAAGACGATGAGATGAAGATGATGAGATGAAGATGATGAGATGAAGATGATGAGATGAAGACGATGAGATGAAGACGATGAGATGAAGATGATGAGATGAAGATGATGAGATGAAGACGATGAGATGAAGATGATGAGACGAGATGACGATGATGACGATAATAGTCGTGGTGGTGGTGGTGGTGGTGGTGGTGAAAATGATGAGGGCGATGAAAGGGTTGGAATGGTATTGAGACGTATGAATGGTGAAGGCTAAGGAAATGTTTTTCATAGTTGTAGTTGAGATTAAACTTCTTGAGTTTACTTTGGAAAGTGGTGATGAAAGGAGATGATTTCACTGGTTTTATTTCGTCAAATTCTGTATACTTGATAGATAGCCCATTGTTGATCTACTACAAAGTACCAATATGGATGATGAATTTTATTTGTATGTGCACTCGTTTTTCTGGGCTAGAAATTCTCTTTTGTGTGCTCTTGATGTTGTTGGAGGAATACACGAGCAGTTCTGTGTTTCCTGTGCCTGCTATACATGTTCCCCAAAACGCTGGATGACACTGTGGGATGTGATTGTCTATAAGCTTCAAATCAGTTTGGTCTTGATTCCGACGTGCCAAATGATTTCTTTTGATTGAATGGTTGGTGTGAGAGTCCTGCTTGTCACTCGTGGCATGCCATGCAAAGCCTCCCTATGGTCATGTGCAGAGAATGTGGGCGGAGTTTAAGGGTTAAGTCTTTGTCGATTCACTGACGAAGTTCCCATGCCTCCCTCGCAGGGCAGTTGCTCACTCTATGCTCCCTGGCAGTTGCTTACTCTATTCTTTAGACTGGGAAAAGTATTCGCGATGTTTAATGGAGAATAGTTCAAGTAGATTTGAACCGATAGATGTCGAGAAGGGTCTGCTTACGAGATTCATAGGATTAGTCTCAGTGTGATGACGATTCAGTTCAAGTTGTTGATGACAGTAATGACTTGTCTGCTGTTGTTCTAATCTTCTGTTCAGTCACTGCAGTTGATTGCTTCAGCGTATTTCATTCACCTTTCCTGAGATCCTCTCCCACCCAGTCTTGGAGTACCCGAGGTAACAGCATCTTGTCTGAGGTTAAGACGTGACGGTTTGGCTGCCAGCAACAGTTGCCCCGCATAGAAGAAACTCTGTCAAGATGGCATACAACCTCCAGCATCCCAAGATAGCCGATGACATTACCCAGCTGATCGGCAGAACTCCTCTCCTCAAGCTCAACAAGGTCACCGAAGGCTGCCATGCTGAAGTCATCGCGAAGCTCGAGAGCATGGAGCCCTGCAGCTCCGTCAAGGATCGTATCGGGTGGGTTTGAAGCAGCCGGCGGGTTTCGGCGCGTTGACCTCGCGATCCTCAGGCTCTCCATGATCAACGAGGCCGAGAAACGCGGAGAGATCACTCCCGGCAAGACCGTCATCGTCGAGCCCACCTCAGGAAACACCGGCATCGGGTTGGCTATGGTGGCGGCTGCTAAGGGCTACGATATCACTCTTGTGATGCCCGAGACCATGTCGCTCGAGAGGCGCGTCATGTTCAAGGCCCTCGGGGCCAAGCTCGTCCTCACACCCGGTCTCCTCTCGCTCCTGACATCGTCTCGCGCCTGACGTGTGTCAGGCCCTCTTGCAATGAAGGGAGCGATCAAGAAGGCCGAAGACATCCTTGCCTCCCTCGGAGAGAACGCCTGGATGCCGCAGCAGTTCAACAACCCTGACAACATTAAGGTTCACATGGAGACCACGGGACCTGAGGTCAGCCTGCTTTCTATGTGCTCGTCTCCTTGCTTGCATGCTTGTGTCTTTGGGTTTGCTTCGTCTGCCCCTTGCTCCCTTCCCCCCATCGAATTGCAGTTGAATGTGTCTTGTAGATCTGGGAACAGACTGATGGCAAGATGGACGTAATTCTTGGTGGAGTTGGCACTGGTGGAACGATTACGGGCAGCTCCCGCTTTCTCAAGTCCAAGGTGAGGAATGGCTTTGAAGGAGAGAGGAGCAGGAGCAACCCGTTGTAGTGCTGGTGCTGGGGAAGGAGGCGGAGGCAATGGGATGGGCGAAGGGCAGAGAGTCTGGTCATGTGATCGTGGTATTGTAGAACAAGAATATCAAGACCATCGCTGTCGAGCCTGCGGAGTCTCCAGTCATGTCGGGTGGCAAGCCTGGGCCTCACAAGATCCAGGGCATCGGCGCTGGCTTCATCCCCAACAACTGCGATATGGACATCGTCGACGAGGTCGTTCAGGTCCCTTCCACCGATGCCATGGCCATGGCCCGTCGCCTTGCTACTGAGGTGTGCTCTCGATTATCCCCCCTCTCCCCTTGTCCCTCCCCTACAGGCTGACAGGTGGGATGCAGGAGGGCGTCCTGGTGGGCATCTCGTCGGGTGCTGCCGTTCATGCTGCATGCGAGGTGGCGAAGCGACCGGACATGAAGGGGAAGAGAATCATCGTCATCATCCCCTCGTTTGGCGAGCGATACCTCTCCACCGGTTTGTCTCCCGCATGCTCTTTTGTAGTCGTGACTTGCTTGCAGCACTCTTCTCCGAACTGCTTGAGGAGGCCAAGTCGCAGGCGACAGAGGAAGTGAACTTGTAAGGAGAAGGCGAGACATAAGAAGTTTTCCTTCTAATCCTCTAGACGCGCGTAGACGACAGCAAGCATCACCCACACAGCACAGACCCTGTCAAGTGAGCATGAGCGAGTGTTGAAGCATCAGAGGATGGAGATCAAAGCCGCACCTCTCAGGGTAGACCACGACATGCGACCTTACGGCGAAGCGAACGCGATCGACCCCCCCCTACAGTCTCCTCAGCCTATCGACTCGCTCCCTCCTTCCCCACCTGCAACGAGACGATCTCGGCTGCTGCCTTGGCGCGGAGTAGATCCTCGAGCATCCTGGGGGCAGAAAGATGGCAAAACTGAATAGGAAAGCCCTAGAGACATCTCAGAGGAAGGAGAGGGATAGGGAGAGGGGGCGACCTTGAAGGAAAAATCGTCTGGCACAGCATTTCTTATGCTGCCAAGCAAACAGTAAGAATCTGATTGACTGACTCCTGGCTTCACCTCTGCTGGAAGTCAGCGAGACCAGAAGCGCTGCCGTAGACTCGCTCAGCCTGCACGGGTGAGTGAGGGGGGCAGGAGGTGAAGCGAGCGCGAGCATTCCCACACCTCATAGGCAGTCAGCGCAGGACTGAGCAGCTGACAAAGCTCTTCATCCCAGTGAGTCGCGAGTCCGTTGATGCCTCTGTGGGGTCAGCTCAGCTCGTGGAGTGAGTCAGAGCCCAAGAGCCAAGCTCGAGGGCCCGCCTCACCTCCTTTTTGAAATAAGATCCCGCAGGCTCTGCTCAAGAACCTCCTCCATCCTTCAAGTCAGTCAGTCATGGCTGTAGCGAACAGCAACGCACATGTGCGTCGAGAGCGGGTAGTAGGAGAGCTCAGGTACATGCTTCCTGCGCCTGTAGCGAATAGAGTTGGAGGAGGCAGAGACAGATAAGGCAGAAGGGAGGGATGAAGTTAGAGGGCATGATGAACCATCAGGCGATGGTCACCTGATCTCCCGTACGGCTGCCGAGTCCATCGCTTTCCAGTGCGACATGTTGTTGAGGTCGAAGCTGCTCCCATGTCATGGCAACTCCGCACAAGAGCATCTGACCTGCACGATCTGACCGAGTCGTCGGGCTGGACATTCGCGTAGAAGGACTGGAAGCCCAGGATGAGGAGTAACGAGTCGAGGTCACCTCAGTTCACCTCATGGTTAAAGACGCATCCTATCTTGCCGTATCTTCTTGACAGTCAGAGTGGGACCACAAGGTCGAAGGCTCACTTGTGCACGGACGGAGAATCGCTTCCTCCATGGCTGTACCTGAGTGAGAGTGAGCTCTTGACGTTTCAGGTCCCAGACCGACCTCGATCCCGTCAGGCTTTCCCAGAACGTCACTTTGATCTTGTTCAGCTCTAAGTCCCTTCCAATACAGTCAGGCAGGAGTCTCCCACTTGCCTCTCCTCTTCCTCGCCAGCAGCTCCTTCAGCTCTCTACCCCCTCGTCTTACCTCTCCAACGTCGCCACCCACATGTGCGGATCTCCAGCGAGAGTTGTACCGATGACGCAGTATGCTTCGAAGCGAAAGCCCTGCTCTCTCCGTCAACCTCCTCCCTCGTTGCCGCCACTCTTACCAGGAGCAGGTTGCACAAGAGAATCGCATGCTCTTCTACGTCTCCCCTCCTGTATGTCTCAGCGTCAGCCAAGGGAAAACCCTTGAAAGCTCTTCCTGCTGCTGAGAACTGTATGAATGTCAGCCCAAACCTGCAGACAGCCTGTAAGTCCTGCCAGACGAAGCTTCTTCCTCCCCTCCTCCTACCTCTGAACGTCCTGACCCGCTTCCTAATGGCTGCATCCTTGAAAACTCGATGAGGCTGACGAACCTGCGCAGCAGTCAAGAAATTAGTCTCGAAGCGCTCACGCACCTTGATGCTTCACCCGCAGAACGGATGGCTCGTCCTCCCCTCATCGGTTGGACAAACGAACAAACTGAGGGAGAAGGGTGGAGAGTGAGGAATGAAGAGAGCAGGAAGGAGGATTTGAAGGCAAAGTGATGAATGATTGGATTTGATGCGGGACCTGGAACGTTGATGTCGTTTTCCGTTCTGTCACAACGAGAGAAAAGAGAACAAGCACAAAGATGAGTTAGAGTGAGATGAAATGAAAGAGGAGAGCAAAAATTTGTGAACAACAATGAGACATGTCAGGTGTCAGATATGACAGGAAGAAGGCTCAGGATGAACTTGCACAAACCTCGCGAAGATCTTCACCATTCTGTTGCCATGCTCTGGACGGATCTGCAAGAATTCCTAGTGCGAGACGTCAGTGGCGCCCTCCTTGCCGAGTCCCTTCTACCTTCCACCAGATCTTCGCGGAATTGAAGAAACGTCTGAAGTCAATCGAGGTGAGTGGAAGGGGGAGAGGAGCGGGACGACCTCTCGTGCTCCAACAGGCTCTCTCTTTCCGCTTTGATGACTTGCTCCAGGGAAACTTCGTCGGCGAGGAGGTTGTGAGACTAGCCCAGCAGTCAGTTTAGCTACGACTCAACGCGAGCAAAACCTTGGGAAGCAGCTCCAGCTGCAGCCCCAGCAGACCCACGGCAACAGTTGAGTCGCCACTGAGGCCTGAAGGGAGAGAAGATGAGGAAGAAGTGAGCGAGTGAGGAGATTCATGAACCCATGAGCTCAACGTCGATCGACAGTCTTCCGGACACAAGCACCTTCCTCCACTCAATCTCCTGCGTACCGATGATCTCTGCAAGCGATCACAAGACTGCAGCAAGAGAGCAGCACGTCACCTAGCCTGTCGTCAGACCCTTGCTGGGTAACGACCATATGAATGGGTGAGGATAGCGCAGAGACGGGACGGTCAGAGTCTGTCAAGGTTCAGGAGGAAGAAGCGGTCTAACAAAGGAATCTCACTTCCTGGGAGGTGGAACAGGAAGGTATCGTCGAAGTTGGGCTCAACATCGCACGGCACGGGCTTGGAAGCGTGACGCTGTGACGAGGCCATCATGATGAAGAAGAAAGCATGAAGCCGGAGACAACCTGTCCGTGCCATAACAAGTGTACCACAAGAGACCCTTGGCCGTCACTCGCATCATGCAGATGATCGACAAACCCTCTCCCCTTTTTCAGCCTCACATGCAGGAACTGCCGATGGGATCATTCAAGCACGACATTCTTATCCTATCTCCCCTCACCTTTCCTCCTGCCTTCTTGGCAAGAGCTGACGTTGGAGTTGAGCTATGTGACAGTTGATTCCCATGCTCTCTTCCCAGCGAGTTTAGAACTTCCTCAACAACCCTCTTCTCGTGCAAGGTGGTCAGAAGTCTGCCGAGATCATCAACGCCTTCCAGCTCTGCAAGCAAAGCAAATACTTGTCTTCATTGATATCCATCCCCTCTTCGCTCTCAAGGAAATCTCGAACGAAGGATCTAACTTGTCCATAAACATTCGTTGATCTGATAAGGTGCAAAGTCACAACCACGTCTCGTATTACATCCCTCACTTCAAGTGATCGCTGATGATGTTCTTCAATCTCTCTTTCTGCTGCCCTTCCAGTCGATTCAGCATCTGAGGCGAAGCATCAGCAACGTGTTCCCCTTGAAATCAAGGAGGCGTGTTCAAGAATTCAGTTCAAGTCAAGTGGCCATGGTTTTATCGCCATACGGAGACGTCTCTGCAGAACCTCTTCGTTCTCCTACAGAACCTGACTTCTCTCATTACCTTTCTCTGCCTCCTTTGCGAACGATTGGCTTTGTCGCTGCTCTTTCTTGATGATGTGATGTGATGTGATGTGATGTGATGTGATGTGATGTGATGTGATGTGATGTGATGTGATGTGATGTGATGTGATGTGATGTGATGTGATGTGATGTGATGTGATGTGATGTGATGTGATGTGATATGATGTGATGTGATGTGATGTCGCTTCTCTTGTCATCTCGCCTCTGCCATATCGTGATATCGTTCTCTTCTCTCCTGGCGCAATGGCGGGAAATCTCCGGCCGTTCCCTGGAGAGTACCACGTGTATCTCCGAGGATACTTAATCAGGTCACCGGCCGGGTGCCACAGCGCGATCGCCGCCGGACGCCACGGGCCCACGGGCCAGGCGCCGCCCGGCCCCCTGGCAGATGAACCGTTGAACACTGACAGCCCCCCGGCCGGGGCCAGGTATGGTTAACGGTTCGTGAAGCCGAGCACAAGTTTGTTAGTTGAACTCTAGCATCCCAACTTCAAGTTGGCAAGCATCCGATGATAGTCGTCTCTGTACCACATTCAACGGCCGCCTTCGGAAACACGTACGGTAGGTCGTCTTGCCTTTACAGGGCCTGAGGAGAGTTTTTTGTTAACTCGGCGCTATCTGACTGGCACGGCTGGCATACGATCCATCACGGCCGGGCTGCCGCCTGGCTGAGACTGACGTCCGTCGGACCGTCCCGTCGCCCTTGGCACCCGCCCGCCGGGGCCGGGCCGACTCGGGCCGTGACCGTCGCCTCCGGGCCTCCGGGCGCTTCCGGCGACCGTGGCAGCCCGCGGCCCGTCCGTAGACCCAAGGAGAACGAAAACGAGTCTTTTGGAGGATACGTGTCCGTTTGACCCCCAACATCGAATTTTTGACCAGTCACGGTACCATACCGGAGAGTAACGTGACCTAGATCCGAGTGGTTTGCAAGTTCGGTAGAACTCACAGAAAACAAAAAGGGCCTGGTGCGCTCAAGAACTTCAAAAGTTTGATTAAATTTGAATAATTCAGTCAAACTTTGAAACTTTACCTCGATAGAGTTGAAACCACCCGGTATGGGCGGAACACGAGAAGCCGTCATGGCGAGGGCAGAGACCGTACCTTCCCCGGGAAAGCAACAACACAGCAGGGATAAAAATAGATTTAAACTACTAATACCTTTTAAAGATGACAGCCTATCTGTTATAGTACTATTGTATGCGATTACAACCCTTTTATAAAATCCCCGGCAACAAATGAAATTTACCTTCTGAAATCCATTCGCGAAAATTATTTATATGATCAGTCAACAAGCAGAAAGATTTGTACCATTCAGTAGGCGCATACCCTTCTAAAACAATTTAGTGTGTAAAAAGTGATTGTTCAAAAAGAGGAAACTCTCTAACGAGACTACCCCCATCTTCTAGACCACCCTCGATACCCATAACCTACCACCCCCTCGCTTACCCTGAGCCTTCTCAAGTCAAAAAGGATCTGCAGGCAGGGGTGTGGAATGTAGGGGGCAGGAAGACGATGGGTGGGGTAGTTTCCAGGCGTAGAGGAGGGGTTAGAACGCCTCTTCCTTCTTTCCGGGCGTTTGAGGTGGCAGTTTATTTGACCGCTGAGGTCAAAAGTGGATATAACAGGGCGAACAGGTACTTAGGGGTAGCTAGGAGGGTCATACCAACCCTCCGGTCCCCTAAGAGGTCTTGGTTTCTTGCGGTACCGGAGCTGCGGTATCCCGGTCCTAGGATCACTCTTACAGACTGCTGAGGTCATAGGAGTCATATCCATCAGAGATATTCTTTGGTCCTATCGCACTAGGGGACGGTGGGAATTTAGGGCAAGCCTGCTGTTGATAGCCCTTAATAGCCCCGGGTGCTAGGAACAAGGAGGCATAAGATACGGGTCCTAGGGCCCTATGGTCAAACCTGTTGCCCGGGCAAAACAAGCCTGCGCACGACGGGAGTCCCGGGGGATCCGGAAAAAGAACCCCTAGTTTTATACAAGTTTATAGGGAAGTGACCGGGTGGTGAGGCAATGACCAGGTACCCCATACTTGAAGCCTTCATTCATGTCGTTTAAAGGGTGGGGTAGTCAGTCATGTGGTAAGTTGGAAGGGATGAGGGGCAACTTGAGAAGTGGTTCTATCGTGAGGTCCATGATGACCCCCTCTTACCTGAGCTAAAGGGCTTACTGAGGAGGTAGGGTACAATCGCGGTCAGTCGAGAGGGCGGAAAGAGGGGTACAAACCGGATGAAGGCGTTTGATTTGAAGTTAATATGCTGTACCCTGCGATTTCCCATCAAAGTGACGATAGAAGAGGGGTAGGGTACCACCCTCTCGGTAGGATTCCAAACCCTTCCCTTTCGAGTTTGAATTTAAAACATCAATGTAGATTTACATCTCAAGTTTTATATTTAAAACATGTTTTTTTGACATGGATCAAATTTAGTCCAACCGTTCCGTTTTCACCCGAATGAAAAAAAGAAAATTTCCACGGGTACCATAAGCCATTTATCTGCTATTGGTATAAAACACGATTTATATGTTTACTACTCCGTTCCACTGGGTAGGGTGGTATTGACATACTCGCCTCCGGTCTGGATCTGACACGTCGGCCATTAGTATCACAATATATACATCCCACTACCTCACTGGTTTTAGAAAGCCTTCTTTGGGAACAGAGATACAGGGAAGGGTGGGTGGTTAAATAAGACCTGTGATTGCTAATAGCACATATTAAGTTTATTTGCAGGGTTAAAACAGGCGCCACAAACCCCCTCCACCACCAACCTCACTCGCGCTGAACAGCCTGCTCCTGCTCCTGCTCCTGCTCCTGCTCCTGCTCCTGCTCCTGCTCCTGCTCCTTCTGCTTCACAAAAACACTCTACTTTCTTCTCCTCTCCCGCCCGCATCATCCTTCTTCTGCTCGTTTTTCATAACAATCCTCATTCCGGCCCTCCCGTTCGATCCTATTTCCGAACTCCGACTGGGATCCTCCTCCGCACTATTGTGAGGATCGCCAAGTGAATGCAGGACTTTCCGTGCACAGATTGATCATTCTACAGCCACTGTAGAAACAATCTCAGATCACTATGATGGAAATACTTCCTTTCCACAGTCGTAAGAGGAGGTACCAAGCCGATGAGGAGGCCCTGGGCTCTTGGCAGTCCTCCTTGTCCTCTCTGGACATCCTCCCGTTAGCATCCATGTGCAGCCTTCCTCCTCAAGGTCACAATGTTACCGTAGCAGACCAGTTCCCTTCGCAGCGCAGCCCCTTCCTCTATCAGAACATCCTCACCATCCATCCCCAGATCAGCAGCAATGATGACACCAACATAATCTCAAACATGGTTGTCTTCGACAGATACCTGACTCGCCATGAAGTTGGGAGGGGCACATTCGGTGTGTGCTTCTCCGCATGGGACTCGAAACGCAACGTACTGGTGGCTATGAAAGTAGTCCGAAGGGACGAGCGGTCGACTGAAGACGCACTGGTCGAAGCGAGCAAGCTCAATATCTTGGCTCGTCGGGAGGGGGCTAGTCGATACTGTGTGCAACCCTACACTCACTTCCATGCGTTCGGACATCTGTGTATTGTGACGGAACTACTGGGGGACAACTTGCATCATGCGCTACAGGAGTACCGCACCAACGGAGGACGTTCCCGTGGGGTCAGGATGGAGATCGCACGGAAGATTGCAAAAGATTTGTGTGAAGCTCTAGACTTTCTCAGCAAGGCAGGGCTGGTACATGCTGATCTCAAGACTGAGAATGTGGTGATGGCGAGACCGGGAATGACGTTAGATGATCCTTCGCTGTCGGTGAAGTTGATCGATTTCGGATGTGCGTCCTGGAATGGTGGCCCTGCGGGTACAGTAGTTCAAACCTCGTACTACAGAGCGCCTGAGGTGTTGCTGGGGCTAGAATGGTCATACCCGTGTGACATGTGGAGTGTCGGATGCATCGTGCTAGAAATGTTTGAAGGGGAACGAACGTTCGAAACCATTGATCCAGCACAGCACCTGGCAATGATTCAACGGCTTTGCGGGAGAATACCGTCGTACATGCTTCAACGATCAGGGGCTGCTGTATCGTACTGCATCGATAAGCTGAGGTCTCGAGTGATGTGGCCCGAGGTCTCCGGGGGGGACATCTGCTATGACAGAAACTACGACAAGGAGAAAGCTGTGATGACTGTGCTTCCTCTTTTCCAGCGGTTGGGGCATCCTGGCCTGGTTCACATGCTTGGATTCCTGCTTGGAACATTCCAGCTGGACCCGGCCTTCAGGACAAAGGCGTCTTCTGCTCTTCATTGTCGATGGTAATCCTTCTTGCTTGTGTTTGGTTGTTCTCACGATGTTTGTGAAGGTTTGATGACAACTTTGCACAAATGGAATTTCAGCGATCGTGAGTCAAAATCGGATGGGAGGAGAACATATTGTAACGTTGTAGCAGGGCGAAGTCTGCAAAGACGGACCTTTCCTCGATTCCATGCCGCACGAACCCTTGCCTCATCAACTGTGCACCAGTGCCACAACTCTTCGGAGGGTGTGTGGCCATCTGAGATGTTGGAAGAGACCTTACTTTTTTGCAGGGTGAGCTTGAACATTCCTTTCGTCTCTTCCGAGGTCGACACCAGTTTCTCTTTGCCAAGTACAGGTTTAAGCACAGGGCATGCGCTCTGTACTCCACTACACGCAGCAGCAGCAGCGTTGCGAATGCAAATTGCAGCGGCCGAGGCAGTTTGCGTTCGCGGATCTGGACGTTCCGGATGATCCTTCATTCTTTTGCCAAACTTCATTCTTAGTTGATTCTTTACGCTCTCTCCCTGTCTTTTATCACTGCCGTGATTTCAATACACGCTGGCAGCACGATCTGCTTCCCAAATGCCATCATCATATGAAACAGGCATCAGTGGCGACACGCATCTACATCGCCCCGCGCATCAGGCTTGAAGTTGGCATCTCAGTGGCCCGGCTCAGTCCCGGCGGCCGCGCGCTGGCCGGCCCGGGCCTTGGGCAAGAGTACAATTTTTAGTAAATCAGCTTAAATAATATATTCGAAATGCACTAAGCTAATCTTTATTGAATTGCCAGGAGATGTACGTGGGTGGAGATTCAAGGGGGTAGTCTTAACAAGTTGATATACGAATTGAAGGGGTAGGGTCAAACGAGTACGGGTACTTTAAACAGAAAATGAGTCGTAAAAATAGGGTAGGGTGAACTAAAATAGTTTTCAATGGTGGGTGTAGGGGGGCCTCGAAGGAGGTCGAAACTGGGTTGGGGTCAGGGTCTGCGAAGGGTGGGTAGTGCTAGGGGAGGAAGGGGGTGGTGGTGACGTGGGGGACTGAGAAATGCTGGAAGGACACGAGGGATCGAGGGGGCAAGGGGAGGAGGAGGAGGAGGAGGAGGAGGAGGGCAAGCAGAGCGAGAAGGATCATGGGAGGAGGATCATGAGGAGTAGGTCGATGAAGAGGTGGGAGAGAAGAAGGCGGGTGGTGAGATGAGAGCAGGAGCAGGGGCAGGAATCGTCACGAAATAGGATCATGGACAGGGAAGGGAAGGAGCTTGTGGGGAGATGAATCAGAATGTTCATTTCATCTTCCTTTCGATACCGTAGAGCAATCAGGGGATGGAATTAGCCATGGCAACTGAAAGGAAGGAGCTGCATGCGAACGATTCCTGACATGAGTACGTCGTGTGTTCTAATACGTATCTCCCTCTAGCCGCTTTGTAGTTGAGCAGCATGATCCACACCATCAAGACTGAAGTGCTTGAGGAGGTTTGTCCATATCTCTGACCCCGATCTCATTCATCTCGCTCCTTCTGGGTCCTCAGTCGACTCTCTTCATGACTTGGCTCAGGTGGGACATTTCAACAACTACATGAAGCGCGTATGGCGTCATATCTCGCTCGATCTCCAGTGAGCAGTCGATGCATCTGTTGAGCTGCCTGCTGATACTGTTGGGCGGGAAGGGAGATGAAGAATGGCGCTCCCAAGTCAAAGAAGAGCGACGGGGTAGAGGAAGCGACCGCTCATGGCGAGCATCAGGACGCTGGAGGTTGGAGAGCTTGACGCGCCTCTTCCGTAGCTGAATGAAGATGCTGCAGCAGACAAGAAGAGGGAAGCTCCTCGAAGGAAGAAGATTCTGATCATGATGTCTGACACAGGTGACGGAGAGGATGATGGAGATGATGATGGCGATGATGATGATGATGATGATGATGATGATGATGATGATGATGATGATGATGATGATGATGATGATGGAGATGATGATGATGATGATGATGGGATGAAGATGCGTCTGGGTGTCACACTTACGAGGAGATGCAGGAGGGGGTCATCGAGCCTCGGCCAACTCGCTCAAGGCAGCGCTACACTTGATGATGCCTGAGGACCAGCTGGAAGTCAAGATAGTGGATGTGCTGGTGAGAGCAGGAGGAGGTAGAGGAACAGGAGGGAGAGAGGTGGAGGTGCAAGGTTGAAGTGTAGGGAGGAGCGAGGACAAGGGAGGATGAGAAGGAGAACAGGAGAGCAAGGTAGAGAGTTGCTCAGCGTTGGGTGAAAAGTGGCGGGGCATCGCGAGGGGCACGGCGAGGAAGGGGAGTGGAGCAGGAGCAAGAGGGAGTCAGAGTCGGAGCTGAAGGATGAGCAGGAGGACTACACGCTTTGGTTCTCGAACCGACTCTACAACTGGTGGGTGGCGTACCCGCACGTATGGGCGAACATCTTCCATCACACCAAGAGGACGTCGGAGAAGGTTGACAGGACGGGAGGGTACGCGGGAGGAACGACGGCCAAGATCCTGGAGCCAACGGTACGGTCAGGGTACAGGAGGTGCCTGGCCGCTGAGATGCCGGACCTGGTCGTGTCTGTACATCCGATCATGCAAGTGATCCCCCTCGAGCACTTTATGGTACCTGCTCCTGCTCCTGCTCCTGCTCCTGCTCCACCTGCTCCTGCTCCACCTTCTCGCAGCTCGTTGTTCGCTGCACCTATTCTTCCTACCTTCACCCTGTCCCTGCTCCCTCCAGTTGTTCTTGAATCGTTTCCGTCCACCCTTTCTCTAGCTTGCCCTTCTTGTGTTCTTCTTTCTTCCTCTCCTTCCTCCTCCCTCGTAGCTCAGAAAGTCGCTAACCCTGCGAAGCCCCAGGACAGGAGCAAGAGAATTCCTTTCGTGACGTGCGTGACGGACTTGGGGGAGGCGCATCCTTGGTGGTTCAACGTGTCTGTCGACAAGGTGCGAGGGGGAGGGGGAGGGGGAGGGGGAGGGGGGGGGGAGGGGGGAGGGGAAGCAGGAGCAGGAGGAGTTGAAAATGCATGGCAGGTTTTTGTTCCTACCGAGGAAATGTATGAGACTGCCATCACATGTGGCATGCGAAAAGAACAAGTGAACCTGCTGCTGCTTCTGCTGCCTCCTCCTGCCTCCCTCCTGCCTCCTGCCTCTTGCCTCCTGCCTCCTGCCTCCTGCCTCCTGCCTCCTGCCTCCTGCCTCCTTCTCCTTCCTCCTCCTCCCTCAACCTTTCTTGACCTCCCCCCTCTTCTTCTCCGTCCCCTCCTTTCACCTCTTTCTCACGCACTCGCAGGTGCAGGTTTTTGGCCTTCCGCTCCGGCAGGGCTTCTGGCATCTGGATGGGGGGGAGGAGGCGAAGCAGGAGAAGCGGCGGAAGCTCAAGCTGGAGGGAGACGCGAAGGTTGTCCTGGCGATAGGAGGAGGAGAAGGCATGGGAAAGTTAGATCAGGTCAAGACCTGTTAAGCTGCTCTCCTCCTCGTTCCTCCTGCTCCATTTCCTTCTTTCCTTCTGCTCTTGCTCCGATCTTATCCCAATCGTAGATCGCGAAATCCTTGGGGAGGCATCTGGCGGAGAGCAACGTCAAGTCCCATCTAGTCATCGGTGAGTGAAATCTCCTCCTTCTCCTCCTCCTCTCACTCCAGCAGTCTGCGGGAGGAATCAGAAGCTCCGCCAGAAGCTCGAGCGCTTCAAGTGGCCCAAGGGATGCGAACTAGAACAGGACGGGGAGGAGCGACCGACCCAAGCCCATGAACAGGAGTCGAGGAGCAGCCAAGAGCTCGGGGAGCAGGAGGGAGGAGAGAAGGGAAAAGGCGAGCAGGAGGGAGAAGAAGGCGAGCAGGAGGGAGGGAGGGAGCGTGTCAAGGTCAGAGTGGTTGGGTTCCTGGACAATGTCGAGGAGTACATGCTCGCAAGTGACGTCATCGTCTCTAAACATGGATATGCTGATCATGCTGCTCTCACGCGTGATCATCATCATCTCCTTGCAGGCTCCATAGCCGAGGCAGCTGCTTGTGGTCGCCCTTGCATGGTCTACGACTTCCTTCCCGGACAGGTCTCCTCCTCCATCTGCTTCTCCTTCTCGACTGACGGCCAGCAGGAGGAGGCCAACGTCGACTTTGTGCTCAAGAGAGGCATGGGAGGCTTCGAGCCTGACGCTAACAAGGCTGCACAAGTTGTTCTCTCCTGGCTCAACGATCAGCCAACCCTCCGCAAACTGGTGAGAATCTCATTCCTCTATCGCTCTTCCTCCACCACCTGGTCGTCCTCCCCTCCACTACCTCCCCCTCCAGCTGCGTCTGCCACCTCCCCCTCCAGCTGGGTCCCCTCCACTACCCCCCCCCTCCAGCTGGGTCCCCTCCGCTACCTCCCCCTCCAGCTGGGTCCCCTCCGCTACCTCCCCCTCCTCCTCCTCGGTCGATCTGATTCGCCTTGTCATCCAGTCCGACGCCTCTCGCAAGGCCAACTCGAACCCTCACGCTGCTCACGACATCGCCGCGGCCATCATCACTCTCATTCAGGTTTCTTCCTCGGAGGCTCCACCATGGGCTGACGACGCAGGAGCAGGAGCACGACAAACAAGTTGAAGCATGTCAGTGAATGTAAATTAACGATTACATCTCCTCCTCCCCCTCCGCATTGCACAGTTAGTCGTCTCCTCCTCTTGCTACAGTTAGTCCTCCTCCTCCTCCTCGTCTTCGTCCTCCTCGTCTTCATCCTCCTGTACATTTGTCACTCCCGCGCCCAAGCGCCCCCCCCGTTCTCACCTCCATCTCATCCACATTCTTTCTCCCGAGCCATTCCTCCTGCTGCTCCTTCTCCTGCACTCAGCTCAGCACCAGGAGGGAGGGGGAGGCATCGAGCCCACCAGCTCCTGCAGCAGGTTGTCCAGCTCCTCCTCCTTCTGCGTCGTCTTGGCTGACGCTCGAGTCCTCGTCGACCTCCTCACGCGCAGGGGACTGTGAGGGGAGAGGACCTGGGCTTTGTCTCCCTCCTCCCTCCTTCCCCGCACGCTCCTCGTCGTCTTCTTCGCCACCACCTTCTTTGCTCTCCCTGTCTCTCCCTCCTCCTCCTCCTCCTCCTGTTGCAGCAGCAGCCGCGAGGCGACGAGGAAGGAGGTCAGGGCCTCGCTCAGGCTGTCGACGGAGGGGAGGGAGAAGCAGGGCTGAACCTCCTCTGCTGTCTCCTCCGCCTCCTCGAGCTGAGAGATGAACCTGCGCACTGAAGACTAGCAATCGGTCAGAGCACAGGGAGGAGGCGGAGTAGGAGTAGGAGTAGGAGGAGGAGGAGGAGGAGGAGGAGGAGGTACCTGTGCGATGCCATCGTCAAGAGTTTCGAACGCTTTCTTGGCAACGGAGCTGAGGGCCTGGAATGAACTTCAGGTGAGGAAGGAGAAGAAAAAAGCAGAGGGAGAGGGAGGAGAAGGAGGAGGAGGAGAAGGAGGAGGAGGAGAAGGAGGAGGAGGAGGAGGAGAAGGATTACTCTGCTCTGATTCTTGGAGAGTTTGAGCTCCACATTGGTGAGGAGGCGAGAATACACCTGAAACGAGGGTGAGGGCGAGCTGGCAGAGAGGAGGCGAACGACAGAACGAGCAAGGAGAGGCGAAGGCAGCTACACTAGGAGGAAGAAGCAAGAGGAGGAGGGAGGAGGGAGGAGGGGGGGGAAGGACCTTGACAGAGGCCGAGGAGTCACAGCCGGTGAGTTCCTCGCAGATGAGACTGGCGATGGTCAGCTTCGCTCTCTTGCTCGCCTTGATGGCATCCTCTCCCTTGGCCGCCTGCGCAAACAGATGAGAATAAGGAGGGGGAGAGGAGGAGGAGGAGGAGGAGGAGGAGCAGTTTCCCACATCTTCGAGGAGGGACAACAGGTACTGGCCGACTTGAAGGGCGTTGACTTTGGCTAGCGGCGAACCCTGAGAGACAAGACAAGACAAGATAAGATAAGATAAGAAGATGAGGAGAAGACCCGAGGAGCCTCCAGGATGATGCGAAGGGCAGGCAGAGCGATGGCGCCGAGGACGAGGAGGTTGTCAGCCTCCTTAGCCTGCAGGACTTGTGTAAGGAGATGGTTGAAAAGGAGAGGAGAGGAGGGGAGGGGAGGGGAGGAGACCGCGAAGGTTGGGAAGAAGACAGCAAGGCACTGTCTCATGGCCGATTCTTCCTCTGTTGACAGTCAGGCAGGTCGAGGAGGTCGAGGGAGACGAACCAGCTGACGAGGCGAAGTAGGCGAAGAGAAGGGCAAGGGTGGTCTGCAGGACATGTCAGGCGTTGTGTGCATGTAGAGGATGGGAGGAGGGAGGTATTGACATGGCTAGTCAAAATGAACGACGATGGGAGTGACAGGAGTGGAGGGGGAGGGAAGGGGAGGGGAGGGGAGGGAGGGGAGGGAGGGGAGGGAGGGAGGGAGGGAGGGGAGGGAGGGAGGGGAGGGGAGGGAAAGGGGTTACGAGGAAGTACTCTTGTTAGGCGATGTAAAGG